TCCACACCCCCACCTCGGCACACCAGGCAGGCAGGCGGGCGGGCAGGCAGGCGCGCACCCGGCCCACTGGCAGGCGCTTGTAGTGCACGCTCTTGACGGTGACGGGCTTGAAGGTGCCGTCGGCGATGTCGGGGCCCAGCAGCAGCGTGGAGTTGGGCGCGATGACGCCGCGCTTCACCGTGCCCGCCACCACTGTGCCCACACCTGCGCCCAGGGCGAGGGTGGGAGGGGTGGCGTTGCCGGGGAGCAGGCCGGGGGCTGGGGAACCGACAAGAGCGGAGCCTGGGCTGGCTGGGACAAGGCGTGTGCCCCACATGCAGCCCCAACCACACCGCAGGGCAGCGCCACCCCGGCAGCGGCGCGGCACCAGCGCCACCAATGCTTGGCAGCGGCAGGGCAGGGGCGCACCCGGCACGCCAAAGGTCTCGTCGATGATGAACTCGGCGTGCTCAGAGGTGCGCTCAAACCTGCGGCAGGGCGACGCGGGGCGCATGGGCGGCGCCAGCCAAACCCGGGTCGGAGCGCACCGCGCCAGCCCACGCCCCAGCCCCGCTCCCGCCTGCCCCGCTCCTCCCCGGCCCCGGCCCCCCTCCCCAAGCCGGCGGCGCTGCTGCGTGGCGCACCAGTTGTGGCGCTGCGGCAGGAGGTTGTAGAAGAGGCGGATGAGGTCCAGGCCCCTGCCGGTGACGGAGGAGGTGAGGAAGATGGGAGCCAGGCTGTCGGCGTGCATGTGGCGCGCGCACGTCAGCACGTCGTCACGGCTGCGCACCTGCGGGCGCAGGGGTGGCGGGGTGGCCGCGGGGGTCAGCAAGGCGGCAGCGGCGGCGGCGGCAGCTGTGGTGAGCAAGACGGGACTGGCAGCGAGCGCGTGGCGGCCCAGACTGGAGTGGACTGATGCGCTGTGCCAGCCTCTCCCTGCCCCCTCCCCCACCCCCACCACCGCCAGAGAGGGAGAGATTCACACAGCGGCAGCGGGCGGCGGCCGCCCCACCAGGAAGGGCCGCTTCTTGACGCCCGGCTTCTTCAGGATCTGCTGCAGCGTGGCCAGCGTGTGCTTCAGCACGTGCTCCGGCGCCAGGTCGATCTTGGTGACCACGAAGAAGACGGGAACCTTGAGGG